GGGGGGGGTGTCTGAAATGACAACAGAGAGACAGAAAGTAATTTGCAGTGACAGCTTGGGCTTTCATCTGCCTCCAGGCCTTGAACTCCACCTTGTTTAATTATTAAATCGGGAGGCACACAGCGTGCCGCTCCGCGCTGACGAATCCCAAATTCAATCGCGCGGACGGTGCGAGTCCGGCGCCTTTTTTTTCTCGTGTTTATCGCTGCCAACGGCACAGCGCGAATGTTAATTCCTCAATGCCGCCTTCATTAGCCAAAAATCAGATTGCCGAGCGGCCGCCCTTTAATAAAACGCACTTCAATCCGCGGGGCCGCCGCGCCAAACGTTCTACGGCTGTGATCTCTTCCGCCGACGGCGGGGCTGCGTTTAACAGATCTTTCTTAAAAACGCACACGCTGTTACCCCGCACCTGTTACCAGAGGAAGATTAGACGCCGCAACATGGCAGCTCATCCCGGCCTCTATGGCGACCGCCGTGTAATTGATGCGCCGCCAGCTCGACGGGGAATGGTGGATTGGGTGCCATTATCTGAGGATGGGAAACAATTCAAAGGCCGGAATATTAAAGAGCTCAGCGGCACGTTTCATTGGGCGCCGCAGTAACATGTAAACGGCTACAAGTTGCAATGCTGAATGATAAAACGTATCCTGCGAGGAGCCAACGCAATGCAGACGTTCCGCACATCCCCTTTCATCGCGGCTGCTGTACAACGCATATCAATCCATATCTACACCCTGCTGATCCGGCATCCCTGCCCGCTATGACCTGTGGTAGCCATGAAATCCTCTGCTGAGCTCCTCTCTGTCTGACCTTAATATGGGATAAAATCACTTACAGGATAAGCCATGTACAGTAGCAGAATGTTGTCATCGGTCTGAGATGACCCATAGAGTTTATGTATGTATGTCATGGACAGATGTGGCCTCCCCACAACTAATCACATACTACATAGACACAAGGTGCACCAAACAATCCCTTACATCACTTTCTCTAACATACAGTATCCACATATATTTCCTGGCACATCATGGCAGCACACAATGGGTTAACGCTCCGCCCCTCATAGGACAAGCTATCTATAAGTTGCTTGGACCCCATTCTTTTTTCTGTCCTCGCCATGCAAGCTCTGCGGATGAACATTTTGTATCTTTACCTGCCGTCTCCTGCGGCATTTCCACATAGGGTTAGCCTTCCCTTTGCCGAGGTCCCTGCTCATCTGCCCTTAGCCCTCGTTCACACCTGAACGTATTGTAGCGCGTTCTACGCTCGACGAACGCTCTACAAAACGCTCAAAAATATAAATCCCATTGTAGTCAATGGGTCTGGTTCCCACCTCGGCGTATTTCCGCCCGTCCCTAACGCGCTACAAAACGGCCCACGCCTGAAAAGGTCCAGGTACTACTTTGGGCCGTTTTGTTGCGCGTTTCCATTGGGATACAGCCAAGTAGCCTTCGGAAACGCGCGTTTGTCGCGCGACTTTTTTACCGCGAATCGCGGTAAAAAAACGCGCGACAGACGCGCATATGCAATACGCCTAGGTGTGAACGAGACCTCAAAGAGGGTATGCCACGGGGAGTCCCTTTTTCGGTGTTTCTTGGGGTAGCAATGCTCCCTGGCTCTGGCTCCCCTTGTGTCAGCCTGCTCTTCCCTCCTCGGCGTCTCCGGCACGCTCCCGTACGCCATGGGCTTCTCTATCATGGCAGAATCTTTCCCAACATGGCGGCCGTTGGGCTACTGCGCATGCGCGGTACTTCCGACGGCCGCGCGAATCGCGTCTATTTAAAATGACAGCGGCTGCCATGAAAGGAAAATTACCGATCGGTAAGTATACAATTTTCCAATATATATTATTATACAGGATTTATATGGCGCCAACAGTGTGCGCAGCGCTTTACAATATAAGGAAGACATGACAATCACAATTCCAGACAAGATGGTAAGGAGGGCCCTGCACGTATGTAGAAGTACAGAGGCGTGTGTACACGGGTGTAGCTGTAAAGTGCTGTTCAAAAGTCTGCAGCAGAAGGTGGTATGTGACCTGCTTTGCCTGCAATGCAAATGCAGCTCAATACAGACCGCTGCGTCCAATGAAATGCAACACGAAGCCAGCCAAATGCAGCTTCAAAACAGCTTCACTCCATTGAAGTCACAGGCAGCCTGATGACCTGCGCCAATGACAGGACACAACCCTTCATCGCCCAGGGCAAAAAGGCCAAAGAGCACCTGTCGCCCAATGAGCGGTGAACGACGTCCGCAGGAAGAGGGCTCCTAAAATACTCACAGTAGACTTTGTTTGGGCCACGTACTCGGACTCCATCTTTTGAAGTCGGGAGTTGGTGTCATCGAGCAGCTCCTGGATGTTTTCTGTGTGTTTCTTCTGCAGCTCAAACTTCTCTTGTTCCATGTCAGCGACAGCCATATGAAGCTGTGAGGGGATATGAGAGAGAAACATCAGAGGGACCGTCCCCAGCCAAATCTGTCTCTGGTCTGGAATCACTGCCCACAGGTCCAGGACCCCAATACCCAACAATGATTATTTTACATGTATGTACATACAGTGCTATGGGACCAGAGGGACCTTCCCCAGCCAGATCCAACCTCAGTCTGCAATACTGTCATCCATGAAGGACCCCAATACCCAACAATGATTATTTTACATGTGTGTACATACAGTGCTATGGGACCAGAGGGACCTTCCCCAGCCAGATCCAACCTCAGTCTGCAATACTGTCATCCATGAAGGACCCCAATACCCAACAATGATTATTTTACATGTGTGTACATACAGTGCTATGGGACCAGAGGGACCGTCCCCAGCCAGATCCAACCTCAGTCTGCAATACTGTCATCTGCAATACTGTCATCTATGAAGGACCCCAATACCCAACAGCCTTTCCCAAACCTTTCACCATGGAGGAGCCCATCATATCATCTATGTGTGCCAGGACACCCCTGATAAACATGATCACACCTACGGCCCATTCAGCATGATCAGTATTGTGGAGATAGAATAATAAGGGGATAAGTAATATAACATACTTCCCATATATGACACAACAATCTGACTTCAGTAATAGTCATAAAACCAAATAATAATATTAATAATAATAATGGCCCAAAAAGAAATGCAGAAAGGAAAAACATTGGAGGTCATTATAAAAGTCCCCCCACGCC